TGTCTTCTTGTACCCCGCATCGCAGTGGCTGTGAGGGACTATGAGGACTTCGAAGACTCCCGTGGCCCGCCCCGGCCCTCGAGGCTTCATAGGATGAGAAGGGAAGGAGGGGGGAGGTTGGCCAGGGGAGGTAGGCGCTGGCGCGTCGTGTGGAGAAGCTCTCATCTCCTTCGTGTCCTCCACGTGAAGAGAATGGGGAACGGAGGTTGAGGAGGAGGAGGAGGAGGAGGGAGGGGGGAAGAAAGAGGAGGAGGAGGAGGAGGAGGAGGAGGAGGAGGAGGAAGGAAAGCGATGGATTCGGAGGGAGGGATGGGATGGGAGGATTTGGGCCGAGAAGGACGAAATGTGAAGGAGGATGAAGAGGGCGCAGGAAAGGCATCGCTGTTTGTAAACAGCCATCACTTCCCAGGTGTGCTTACGCCACGAAGAACGCCCACAGGCCTTCCTTTCTTTCTTTTTTCTGCAAAGTTATAGCAGAGAAACCAAAGGGCATGTCAGGCCTTTCGCTCGTCTATGCGTCTTTCCCCTACATTTTCCCACGCACACTTTCTCCGTACGTCACACACCCGTCTTATTCCTGTTTTTCTTGCGGTGCTGGCTGTGTCCTTCGGGCCTGCTCCCCCTCCCTACTCCGCTGTTCCGCCGCTATTTGCTGGGCCCGAGGGTCCGTCTGTGGCACATCGAGAGGAAGTGGGCATTGGAAGATATGAGACATGAGGTTTGTGTGCCCGACAAGCCTTTACTAGATTTTCCTGAAAGACGTGTACATGTTTACGGGTGTACCTTAGTTTTCTACTTTCCTTTCTGGGAGGGGAGCCAGGCCCTTACCTTCACTAAAAGCACCCGCGGTTGATTCTTACTCAAGAAAGTAGGTGTCCGAATAGAAGAGCCGTCAGCCAGCACAATCGTTTGCATAAAGGTGCGAAGACGGTGTCGCATTTCCTTGTGTGGTGGTCGTCGCAGGAGGAGGAGGGTTAAAGTCGGGTACGGGACCTCCTATCTGTTTGAATCGGGGAGAGGGGGAGGAAGGGGGGATGGGGAGGTGAAAAATAAAAAAGATAGCTTCCAAAAAGAACCCGTGTACACTGCCAGGTCTCCGTGATCGGCGCCTCACTGCAATGAAAGCAAGGGCATCCCCAGACCGCGACGGCAACACTTCTGTTATCATCTTCAGGTCTCGTGCTTTCCTCTCTGAAACGCCGGCGAGACCACTGCCGTAAGGACAAGCGGCAAGAGAAGGCTCTAAATCTTACCATTCTGATCTTATTTTGGAAAAATTTCAACGGGTAATTTACAGGTAGTGTCCATATTGATGGAAGACAGTCCAGGACACCAAGATGGCGAAAGTAGTGGCCTAAGGGACTCTTCACAGCCAGGTATAGCGGTATCCCGTGGAGGGTGTGTGCGACGAGCAAGCCTACAGCGCGTCAATTCTGTTTCGAATTTTACCACGCTACGCCCGACTGACATCGTTGTGTACCTTTTTTGATCTTTGTGCTTGCAGTTTGCACCTTCAAAAAGCCAGTTTTCAAGAAAAAAGGAGCAAAACAACAAAACAAACGGGCCCGCAAGCAAGCATCAGACTCGGGATCTGGAAGGTGAGGTTGCAAACGAGTAACGTCAAAGGAAAAAATGCGAAATTACCGGGAAAACTTGTAGTCTTTGCATACTCATTCCACCAATAACATGGCACGTTTGACCACTCGCACAGTCGTCTGAATATGTCCATACCCCCACATACTCCCACACGCTCGCATACGACAGCTCGAGCGAGGAAGCGGAGGAATCAGTCTTACTCCGAAAACAACAGAGCAATAATACGCGAGGGGAGGGAGGGAGGGCAAAAGCAGGGAAGGGGATACGCT